GTGCGGCAAACCGGTCTAACCTTGGACCACCCACAGCCGAAACAGCCTGGAGGCTACCCACTGGGGTATCAGCCACTTCGTGTTCTGGAGACGGAGCCACCCTAAAAGGGCATCTGCCAGACTGTTCCTCACCCCTGGAAGGTAGGGTGTGGTTAGCTCCACATAGTATTCCAGGCACCAAAGGAGGATTTGCTGCCTTAGGACTGACAACAATGGGGAACACGTCCACTCTCCTTCTTGAAGGGGCCACTGCTGCGTTTCCTGTGCAGAGCAGGACTCTGTGGTTTTGAACTATGGGTAGTAAGCATGGTAGTACACTGCTCTCAGTTCGAGTCGGTTGATATGCTAGTCCCGAAACTAATGCGGAGGCCATATCTTTGGGTATGTTCCTCCAATAGATACGCTCTCCAACCTTGGAGGGAGGCATCTATTACCAGAGTCATACCTGCGGCAAGTGGGTCCAAGGAGGGCCCCCTGTCCGAGGTTGGCCAGTGACGACCACCAGGGCAGGGCTTTCTTCACTTGGTCCAAGATCAAAACCCCGCCTATCTAGATCCCATAGGAGAGCTTGGCGTTGTAATAACAAGCGTTATACAGAGCAGCTGCGTAGTGCGGCCTGTGGAACCACCCTTTGAACCAAGGTTATCATTCCGATGATCTGCATTAGTTCTCAGAGGGACACTGAGGGAACGCTGACTAGGCATTCGGCTAGGCTGCTTAAAGCTAAGCAATATGCTTGAAATAGCTATACCAAGCTTACCTCTGTGTCAAACTCCATGCCCAGGAACACCAACTGCACATTGGGTCGAGATAGGACTTGTCAATTTACTAAAGAGCCCAACTGGTGAAGTGAATCCTGTGTTAGTCTGACCCCTTGTCCGGGTTGTGTAGAAACCAGTCGTCTAGGTACGGATTGAGGTGTACCGACATTTGGTGAAGCAGGACTACCTGTTTCATCACTCTGGTGAACACGTAGGGCGCTGAGCATAACCCAAACGAGGGGGCACCGGACATTTGAATACTTGGCCCAGCTGGGCAATTTGAAGGAGATGGCAACTCGCTGAGTGCATCGGTATGTGCAGGTAGGCCCCACTTAAGTCTAGTGGGGCTAGCCAGTCGAAACGGTGGATAGAGAGAAGAACCCTGAATGGCGTCTCCATGTGGAACCGATCGAGGAGCACGTTCTGATTCAGTCTGCCTAGGTCCAGAACTGGACACCCGCCACCTGTAGATTTGTTACTACGAACACAATTGGGTAGAGGCCTGGGTAGAGTGCCGGCTGATCTACCCTGTGTATGGCGCCTTTTCCCAGCAAACTGCTACTTCCTGCCTGATTCCTCCACCTTGCGGGAGTCCCCTGACAATGCCAAATCGGGGAGACACTGATGGAGGAGATAGAGATTTCAACGGTATCCCGTAACAGGATGTCATCACCTGGAAGGGTCCAGGGATTGGTCACCTGCTGTCTCCAAACTGGACTTCACCGGCGCAATCTGTGTACGACAGGGATATGTGGCCATGGGTTCGACAGTTGCGAGGAGGGGGTGCTCTCTTCTCCCATGAGGTGAGTTTCCCCAAGGCTTGAAGTAGTCACTAAGTTGTGACCTGGCCACTCGCCGAACACATTCCTGTCCCCCGGTTGCAGAGGTAAGCGTCAAACACACTTCTCTCGCTGCCGAGGTAGACGACCGCCCGAGGAGAGTGAGGAGCCACCACCTGGCTCTTTTTTCCCTGGGGCGCGCCCCTACTCTTCCCTCCCGTGGAAGGGGATGAGCGCTTGCCTCCTGGCTGACTATGGCTAGCGGACGACGCTCTTGGCAGGGCCAACTGGCTAGTGGATTCGATCTGACCCCTCTGGTTCATTGCCCTCCAAAGCTCTGAGACTGTACCCACCATTTCCCGAACAAAGAGGGTGGAAGATGTCCAGTCTGTGTCACTGAGGTGGAGACGTACCCCCTGACTCAGCTTGCCGACAAAAACACAGGCGTCCAAGGCCGCGTCTCGTTGCACAGAAGTGGCCCCGGCCAAGAGAGACAGGTGACACTAGGGGACGTCGCACGTAGATGTGCGGTGGCTCACCAATAAATGTGTCGCCTTGTCTAGGAGGCTGGAGCGTTCTGCCTCCGAGGTCTCAGAGTCCTGGGCGCTCAAGCAACTCTGCCCTCAGAGCGTGGTGGATAGTCTCAGATAGAGCTGGCGAGAACGCCCATGGAACGTGCCTGTCCTCCTTTACCCGGTTTGCCCAACGGAGATTCGTGGTACTGGGGAAGGAGCCTTGGTATCCAGTAGGGGGAATTTTGGTCTCATCCCACACTTTGGGGACTGATCCCGAAACCACATCGACCGGGTAGCGTTTGGTCCGGTGGAAAGTGTTGCATAAGATTTTACCCCACCTGGGGGCGTTAGGCCAACGTCCGCCCATCAACACCGTTTGCGTGCGCTGTGTCCCACTTCGCACTCGGACGGACAGGGAGAGACGTGCCAAGGGGTTGCTTTGAATTCCGACGCCCGTGATCCTATAAGCGTTGAATCAACTGTAAGTGGTCGCCTTAGGATCAGGGGTGGAGGTATTTACATTGTATCACTAGGATCAATAAAACTTTGTATCACTCCAAAGGCCTGGCTCACCGAGTCGTTATGGATGGAAGACTCTGAAGGACTGCCCGAAGTACTGGCTATATCTGATGCGAGCAAACTGTCTTCTTTTCACTTTATATATGTGAGAGAGAGCGTGTTTGACTGTGCGTCTCATGACAGGGTCGGTTCCCTCTGGGGATGCCAGCGGGTCGGTAAGAAGGGAGTCAAAACCCACAGCAGAGACTGGACACAAGGGTAAATTTATTACCGTTGTACCATTACCACGCGACGAACCCTGGCTGGGGGTGCAACATGTGCCCTACCCTGAAAGCCCTGTCCTGAGATCGGAGGCTTGGCTGCCAGTGCCCCATTTGCATTCAGTGCCCGAGGCTCAGTGCCTGAGCCTCGGCCTCATCTAAATTAGTGGCTGAGCCGCGGCTGGAACGGTGGGTTCCCCGGAAGAGACGTGTTTGAATGCAAACGATGCTTTTGTGTTTCTTCCTGCTTGGCCACTGCAGAGGCCGCAGTGGAGACAGCTCGCTCCAACTGCGTCTGATCTACCCGACCTGCCAGGGACTCAATTTGCCCCAACAGTCTTTCGATCGAAGCCCTCAACTCGGAGGCAAACCGGCGCCGTGCGAGGAAGGATCCACAAAGGGACCCGCAACGGGACCCATAGGAAGAAAAAACCTCCGGGGGCACATCCTCGCTGTAGCCGGTAAAATCGGGTAAACCACCGCCTGACAACACAGACTGTGAGGATGTCCTCCGATCAGTGGGGGGAGACCGAAAAAATATCGGTACCTCCACTGTCGGGCCTCCTACTTTTCACTCATGCCAAACACGTAACTCACTTTAACCGATTTTTACTGGACGCACGACCTTGCTGTGAAGAAACGAGCAGTCAGTCTCAGCAATTTTGATGGCTCTGAAAAAATATCTTAGGCCTCAGAACTCCAGTGAAAAACGCACGCCTTCAAAGCAAAGACTCTGAACCTCGCACACAGCCACGACAAAAGGCATATCAGATGCAGGTTCTATGCTGGTAAATTCTGAATATAACCACTACACAGTCGACTCGAAAACGAGGAGACCAAAAAATGGCGAGTCAAGGATCTGTCATTACATCTATTCATTTCTAAATACGTAGATAAAATGAAGACGACATGCATGAGGGAAGCGAATTACAGTAGTAAAAGGTGATGTAACGCAATCAACAAGTGATTAAGCTAAGACGCCAAGGTTTTATTTCTTTGTTGTGAAAAATGCTACACACAAAGGGGAAAACAATACGAGGGTAAAAATGACAAGAAAAACTTATCCTACCAGCTACAATGTTGCATGCCGCCCAGCGGCAACAACCAAGCTAGAAAACCCGGACAGGAAAAAAGCAAGCAATCCAGGCAGAGCTCGCTAAATTTCATCTCCATTTGAGGCGGAGAAAAATCAGAGTGATTATCCAGCCATATGGGCACCGCCATATGGCTTTGGTCACGTGGTTCGCGACGTAAGGGAAAAGAATCTTGGGATCTTGACCTAGATTCTATCTCTCCGTCATTGGCAGAATCGCTGATTAATGCCTACAGTTCAAAATAGTCATTTCAACTGACTGGAGTCTATGGTGGGTAATTGAACGTAGTGAATTGAGCTTTGCAAGCTTTCATATAAGAAATCATGATTCATTGAGATGCATATTTCCATTAAAAAAAAGATGTTGACTATCAATCTATGTTTGAATGCATGTCAAATTTCTCATATCTATATAACAACACTCTTGAGGTCTTTTTGCTGCTTTGTTAAGGCTGAAAATATGTTTTGTGACTCTGTGACATTGACCTTTGACTGAAAAACCTGACTAGGTTTTACAGGTAATGTTTGAAAGCACTAGCTATTTTATCTTTGGAATGAAAAACACTGTGACAATGACTATTTGTTCTAAAAATCTAATCGAGTCTTGCAAGTCTTGTCTTACATTGAAAACATACACACATTTAATGTCAATGTAAAATTTGAATGTGCGAGTTAATTTTCCCCTGGAACTCTATACTGTGTCATTAACCTTTGACCTTGAAATTAAGTCTTGCGAAATCACATGTGAAAATTATGTGTCAAAGTTTAAAGACATTAGCTATTTTTCTCTTTGAATATACATGAATGCATAAAGCATTAAATTGAATCCTGTATAATAGAAAATTTTATAACCCCAAATGAAACAAATGTCAAGAACCACTAATTGTCATGTGTGTGTTTGCATTTCATTTAAACAATGTATTTTAAATATCGTTTACACCATATGATGATACCTACCAAGCCATTTCTGTCGTCTATCATATTTTCCATGAAGCCCAATTGAAACCAAACAATCCCCATAAGGGATGCCAACACAATAGACTCTACTATCTTGACAGAAGACAACATCTTACTCTTAGATTCTTTAAAACTTCTTGAGGTTAGAGTTCTGTACTGTTCAAAATATGTTGTTGACCATTTTGGTTCTGAATCATCATCAAAGTCATCATCTAGGTCGTTCGTGTGTTTCATATTTACAGAGTTTTCATTGCTGCAATATTTAATATGTCCATTATTACTCTCATCAATATAAGAGTTGGTCACCATAGTTTCACCATTACTGTATGATTCCCATAATGCATTTCTGCTGGCAGCCATTATGGTTTCAACTTCACTTTCGTTTCCTCTGACTTTATCCACTATAAAAGAGAAGTCACTATATTAATAATACTAACAATACCAGGAAATGATTGTCAGAACTGCTCACACACACACAAAATTAAAAAAATAAATAGAAAATAAATTAAAATCTTATGCACTGTAAGTATGCAATTTATTTTCTTATTAGATATATTAGAATATATGACCTCTTAGTAGAATCATACATAGGATTGTGGAAGTAGTATATTACGAAATCATGCAATTCAGATAATAAAATTGTATATACAATGTATAAAAAAAATGTTACACATATCACACAAGGCTAGGCAACCATGTATTTACAGATTAAAGCAATGTACTTACAAATAAAATCTGCAGGGTTGTAATGCTGCTCACATTGAAACCCAATACTGTCAAAATAATCTACAACATTATTTGCTTTACCAAAATATACAGTCTAAAGAAAAGTGAAATAAAAAAAATAAAAAATTAAAAAATAGAAATTTACATTATATTACCATTAAAACACCAATATTTTTTGTCAAATGTTTCTTATTATTATTTATTTTTCTTTGCAATTTTGGATTAAATGTACATAATTTCTCATTGTTTACAAATCAATATTTTGAAAAAAAAAATGCTGTTCATTTAGTGGAAGCTTGATGACAAATATTGACCTTGGGTTAGCTATATTTTTGACAAAATCAGATAATTTTCTTAGTGATATGAAAATATGTCCAAATACCTTGTGAAAACAAATATCTGATTAAGATAGTTTTAAGATTTATGAAGGTGGTGATTTCAAACAACTGACTTACATATGGTTGGTTTACACATCTGAAATTATTTTAATTAGAATCATGTATTTAATATAAGTTTATGTAATTTTGCATGGTTCCTATAAAGTATGGATAAAGCATTTCAATGACCCTCAATATCCTTTTGATCTGCAGCCATCATTCATTAAAGAAATAAAACTGTTGTCACTTCAAATAACTTTATTTTCACTCATCAACATCACAGAAATACTTTGTTGTTACAGAAAAAAGGTATTGCTGGTATTTTCCTGGGCAGCCATATTTTTTTTATTTTTTTTTAAATATATATGCACCATCATTCAAATAGCAATCTGTGAGCCAATAAAAGTAGTGCTTTTCAAGTGATTGAAATCTTACTAACCTCTCCTTGGTGCATTAACAATAACTTATCAAACATGTAGAACATAGAACTGGAAGGCTGATGGACAGATATGATGACAGTTTTCCTTGTTGTTACAGCATAGTTTTTAAGTATGCTGAGTAGTGTATAAGCTGTACTGGAATCCAGGCCTGAAGTTGGTTCCTAGAATTCAACAAATGCATGACAGCATTTACTGATGAAATATATATAATTCCTAATCACTGAGATAAGAGTATGCAATATGGATAACTATGATTAGCGATGTACATCCCCATCCCATGTAATATCCATGAGCCATGAACACTGAAATAGGTTTATAGCATCATACTTTCACAAGCAAAGGTTGTGAAAGTACGGCCACAGGATACACTGCATCCCTTGTGATAATAACTTCCATGCACAAGAAAAGCCATGGGGGAGGGTTGTCATATAATTGAGGTGGAACAATTCCAGGCCAAAGTATAGAAGTGTAGCCAAGTATTAAACACAATTCCAGGCCAAAGTATAGAAGTGTAGCCAAGTATTAAGCACAATTCCAGGCCAAAGTATAGAAGTGTAGCCAAGTATTAAACACAGTTCCAGGCCAAAGTATAGAAGTGTAGCCAAGTATTAAACACAATTCCAGGTCAAAGTATAGAAGTGTAGCCAAGTATTAAACACAATTCCAGGCCAAAGTATAGAAGTGTAGCCAAGTATTAAACACAATTCCAGGCCAAAGTATAGAAGTGTAGCCGAGTATTAAACACAGTTCCAGGCCAAAGTATAGAAGTGTAGCCAAGTATTAAACACAATTCCAGGCCAAAGTATAAGAGACAGTCTGAGTGTAGCCAAGTATTAAACACAATTCCAGGTCAAAGTATAGAAGTGTAGCCAAGTATTAAACACAATTCCAGGTCAAAGTATAGAAGTGTAGCCAAGTATTAAACACAATTCCAGGTCAAAGTATAGAAGTGTAGCCAAGTATTAAACACAATTCCAGGCCAACCCTTACAAAAGTTTCCTATAGGATTTTAAAAAATTCTATAGGACTTTTCATGAAATCATACAGGACATGTATAGTCCTATAGGATTTTATGTAAATTCCTATAGGAATCAACAAGTCCTATAGGACTTTACACTGCCAGTCCTATAGGACTGGTGTGTGAGATCATAAGTCCTATAGGACTATACAATTCCTATATAGGACTTTACACTGCCAGTCCTATAGGACAGGCATGTGAGATCATAAGTCCTATAGGACTATACAATTCCTATAGGACTTTACACTGCTAGTCCTATAGGACAGGCGTGTGAGATCATAAGTCCTATAGGACTATACAATTCCTATAGGACTTTACACTGCTAGTCCTATAGGACTGGTGTGTGAGCTCATAAGTCTTATAGGACTATACAATTCCTATAGAACTTTACACTGCCAGTCAAATAGGACTGGATATTTCTACATGTAGAGTAAGTTACCTAGATTCATATCACTCCCCTACAAAAATATTACATACTATCATAAGATGTCAACAATTTTTCAAATACTTTAGTCAATCTCATTACAATCAGTTGTATTGTACGGCATGTTTTTTATTGTATTCATATTTGTTGCATCTTGCATCTTCGAAAAACTCCCAGTAAATGAATAATATATTAAGATAAAATTTTACTTTAAAAAAAAAATTATTAAAAAAATCAGAATATATACGTTATTTCTATAAACTTTTAAAAGTCAGCACATTTTGAAAAAAATATAAACAAATACTGATGGAAAATCTTTGTAAAAAATTAAAAATATCCATGTTTAGTTTAATTTTCCTTTCAACTTTCCAAATGCCTATATTTTTATCACACAAAAACAGAAAGTCTCTAGTTTTTACTGAATTGTTAAAACTTCATAAAAAGATTTGAGTAATTTTAGAACAAATAATCAAATAATTTTGTTGGTATTTCATTTTACTTTATTATATATTTCTGTTACTAACTTCAATCTAGTCTGTTTCTGGTTGTCTTTAAACTATTAGCCATTGTAATTTGATTAATTTTTATCTGTAATTTTTGTTGTAACCTTTAACCTCCTTCAGTAGGTTGTTATGAGTTAATAAATTGTTTTGTAAACTACAAGTCACACATTGTCTGTGCTAGGGACTGTGGACCATGCTGTCACAATGACCTTGTAATATGGAGAAACTGATGTCATTTTACCCTAATTTTTGGACCAAGAAGACCATAAACTTGTAGAGAACATGTGAGTAACATAATTATGGTATATCTTGCTGTTTTTAATGTGTTTTTTAGCTTCAGAAAACACAAACACAAAAAGTACTGTGACTG